GACCAGGGCAACCGCATCACACCGTCCTACGTGGCGTTCACGCCCGAGGGGGAGCGTTTGATCGGGGATGCCGCCAAGAACCAGCTTACATCCAACCCCGAGAACACAGTGTTTGATGCCAAGCGGCTCATCGGCCGCACCTGGAACGACCCTTCTGTGCAGCAGGACATCAAGTACCTGCCGTTCAAGGTGGGTCCCGAGCATGGAGGGTGGGTGGTGGGCAGGGCCTGCATGTCTGGGGAGAAGAGGCTACTGAATGGTGGCCTTCTGAGCAATCCTGCAGTTCCCCAGCCCTCCTGAGAGGCTTGGGGCGGGGGTACAGACAGCAGTGCTGTGCCGTAGCCGGCATCCCTTGCTGTGCAGTAGCCGGCATCCCTGTTATACAGCGCCTTGGCTGAATCTGCAGAGAGAAAGGAACAGCCTGGTGGGAGTAATTCTGTGAGTTGCTGAGGAGGATGGTGTACATTGTTCTCTTTAGGTTATTGAGAAGAAAGCCAAGCCCCATATTCAAGTTGATGTTGGTGGTGGACAGACCAAAACATTTGCTCCTGAAGAAATTTCCGCTATGGTCCTGACAAAGATGAAGGAAACGGCAGAGGCTTACTTGGGGAAGAAAGTAAGTTTGTGAGTGCTACTGGTACAGACTTGAAGCAGCAGCTTTACAAAACTAAAGATGGGTGGGCAGAATCTGTGGACTAACCCTGCAGTGGTAAACTGTCTGGTGCTGCTGGCCCCTTTGGCAGCCCGGTGGGTTTTCATCTCCTCAAAGAACAGTGGGCTCCTAGCTATCAGTGTAGTGTGTAAGCAACCCCAGCGATGTGCCTTTGTTTTGTTTGTACCCAAAGTACCTTCTTGCTCCTCACCCAGGTCACCCACGCTGTGGTTACTGTGCCAGCCTACTTCAATGACGCTCAGCGTCAGGCTACAAAAGATGCTGGTACCATTGCTGGGCTGAATGTGATGAGAATTATCAACGAGCCGTAAGTAGCCTCACTTGCCCTGTTTGGGGGGGCTGGGGGTGGGTGACCCAGTTATCTGAGTGGGCTCTTCCCTCTGCAGAACGGCTGCTGCTATCGCGTATGGACTGGACAAGAGGGAGGGCGAGAAGAACATCCTCGTGTTCGACTTGGGCGGTGGAACTTTCGATGTGTCCCTCCTCACGATTGACAACGGAGTCTTTGAGGTTGTGGCTACTAATGGTGACACTCACCTGGGTGGGGAAGACTTTGACCAGCGCGTTATGGAACACTTCATCAAGCTCTACAAGAAGAAAACAGGGAAGGATGTCAGGAAGGATAACAGAGCTGTGCAGAAGCTACGGCGGGAAGTGGAGAAGGCAAAGCGAGCCCTGTCCTCTCAGCACCAGGCTAGAATTGAAATAGAATCCTTCTTTGAAGGAGAGGATTTCTCGGAGACGCTTACTCGGGCCAAGTTTGAGGAACTGAACATGGTAAGTTGAGGAGGGTGAAGTTACATTGCCTCAGCTCTGGGCTGGGGACTGGTGTGCAGTGCTTCATGCAGTGACACTGCCCCGGGGTGTAAATAACCCCCTGCTCGCACCAAAAGGCGGGTAGCTGGGGTTGTGTGCTGGGGACAGCCCGGGTCTCGTCGGGGTTTGTCATAAGCCAGTGGTGGTTCTGTAGCCTGAGGCTGCCTAATGCATGTAGGAATGGTCTCACACCCCTGGGCTTGTTTTGGCTTCCTAGGACCTCTTCCGTTCCACTATGAAGCCTGTTCAGAAGGTTTTGGAAGACTCTGACCTGAAGAAGTCTGACATTGATGAGATTGTGCTTGTTGGTGGCTCTACCCGCATCCCCAAAATACAGCAGCTAGTGAAAGAGTTCTTCAACGGGAAGGAGCCCTCTCGCGGCATTAACCCAGACGAGGCCGTCGCCTACGGTGCGGCTGTCCAGGCTGGCGTTCTCTCTGGGGACCAGGATACAGGTAACGGCACCTTCGCTGCTGCTCCCGGAGGGTGACTGTGTAGTGGGTGTTGGCTGCTGGCAAATGCAGCAGACCGCTTGCTGTCCTCGAAGTTTTGTGCCCCGGAGGCCTCAGGGTGGTGTTGCTGTGGTGGGATGTCATTCCCTGTGGGCTGAACCCTTCCCTTGGCCTGTTGCAGGTGACTTGGTGCTGCTCGATGTCTGTCCGCTGACCCTCGGCATTGAGACCGTCGGAGGCGTCATGACTAAGCTGATCCCGAGAAACACTGTTGTTCCCACGAAGAAGTCTCAGATCTTCTCCACGGCCTCTGACAATCAGCCCACTGTGACAATCAAGGTCTATGAAGGTCAGTGTCACCCGCGGTGACCATACTGACACCGGGAATCCACAGGACTCCCGTGCTTGGTACTGTCTGACTGCATAGGCTGTAGGTGTTTCTGGGGGGCTACAGCTGCCTCTGGAGGGTGAGGAGCTCCATAATGGTGCTGCTTTCCCACCCTGCTCTGATCAGGCAGCTTGACCTGTGTCCAGAGCCTTCCCTGTGCCTGTAGTGAAGAGGTGACACAGAGGTGTTGAGGCAGGTGTGGGGTTGAGATGGAAACCCTACAGTGTGACTGTAACTGTTACAATTGCCTTGCAGGTGAGCGGCCCCTCACCAAGGACAACCACCTCCTGGGAACCTTCGACCTCACCGGCATCCCTCCTGCCCCCCGCGGCGTCCCCCAGATCGAAGTTACCTTTGAGATCGACGTGAACGGGATCCTCCGCGTCACGGCCGAGGACAAGGGCACCGGGAACAAGAACAAGATCACCATCACCAACGATCAGAACCGGCTGACGCCTGAGGAGATTGAGAGGATGGTTAACGATGCCGAGAAGTTCGCGGAGGAGGACAAGAAGCTCAAGGAACGCATCGACTCCCGCAACGAGCTGGAAAGCTATGCCTATTCTCTGAAGAACCAGATTGGGGACAAGGAGAAGCTGGGGGGCAAGCTGTCCTCCGAGGACAAAGAAACGATCGAGAAAGCGGTCGAGGAGAAGATAGAGTGGCTGGAAAGCCATCAGGACGCGGACATCGAAGACTTCAAGGCGAAAAAGAAGGAGCTGGAGGAAGTCGTTCAGCCCATAGTCAGTAAGCTCTACGGCAGCGCGGGCCCTCCCCCGGGTGACGAGGAAGCGGCGGAGAAGGACGAGTTGTAGACGGGGGGTGTCTCCCCCTGCGGTGTGTGTGTATATATTGGACTCAGGAACACTTGTTTAAAATATTGAACTCTTAATTTGGAATGTAACTTGGAATCTTCACTCGCGAGTGGAGCTGGAAACGCTAGCCCGACGTGGCTCTATACTGCTTTTGTTAGCAGGTGCTCGATGGCTGGGGCGGGAGGGGAGCGGGGGGTGGAAGCATTGGCAGTGTCCTATTTAACGACCCGGTCCTGCGGCGTTGGTGTAGAGCTTTTCTACCTGAGCTGACCGCAATAAATTTGTTACTTGGGCTGGGCTCCGCTCTGCTCTGTGCCGGGGGGCTGTGAGGGGGTGCTGGGTGTCAGGCCGGGCGTGAGGGGCTGTAGGAGCTGTATGATCATCAGTCTCTGAAATCTAGAGATGTTCCTAAATAACTGAGATCTTTACCTTATCCCTGGATTAGAGGAGGAACTGGACCTGGTGCAGGAGCCTGCTCCTAGGGGGCCTAGGGCTGGGGAATGCTTTTTCAGCTTCTCTTTGCTCCACTTCAGAATATGGAAAGCTAAACCGGAGCGACTCCCCAGGAGTGCTGTGGCTTTAAAAAAAGGGCCGGCCCTGGGGGGGGAAGGCTGCCCCTCCACAGCCCAACTCGCTCCAGGCTCCTGCGGCCAAGTGACCGCTGAAGCCTCGGCAGCAACAGGACATCCCAGAGATGGCTGTGAGGATGGTGCTATCCCACCAACATTTATTGGAGAGAACTGATGGCGCCTGCCGCGCCAGAGGGGCTGCTACTCGAGCAGACTCACCACGCAGTCCCTGTATATCTCCCCCTGTGTGTCCATCCCCCCAAATACTAAGAGCAGGTGCACGACTGCATCCTCGGCGCCCCCCTCCCCGCCCTGGCTTGCCG